AAAAAAATAGAAGAGGTAGACTGTGTTACAGAAAAAGCACTTCATGAAAGTCTTAAGAATGATACAGCATATAGAGAAGCAGAAAGATACATTGCAGAACAAATTCAGAACAAAGCAGAGACTAGCTTTAAGGAAAAATGGAGAGCTGGAGACTAGTATTTAATATACTGTTTTTTTCTGCAAATTTCTAAAATTAATTTGAAGTCGCTTTGGGTAGAAAAGAAATGCACAGTATACTGAAGAGCCAAAAGCTATTATTCAAAAAAACTTTGATTAAGAATAGTGGTCATAAAGAAGCACAAGATTTAACTTTGAGTTAGAAGAAAATGTAAAAAATACACATAAAAAAGGGAATCAAGTGGCTCCCTAGAAAAAAAATCATCAAAGCATCAAGGCTGGCAGTACTGGAGGAAGTGAGGGATGAAGAAGACGTGCTGTTGTTACTGCTTAGTGGATTTTGACTCCTAGTGACTCATGTGTTATGAGTGAACTGCTTCAGAGGATTTTATAGGCTGTCATTTTTTGAAACAGACTGCCAGTCCTGTTTTGTGCCTTTGGGTGGTTCTGAACCTCCAAATTTTTATCAAGTAATTACTGAGTACTTAACCATTTGAGCCATCCATGGGCTCAAAGAAGGCATAAAATTTGCAGAAACAGCAGCAGCAGCAGCAGCAACAGCAACAACAACTGCAAAAGCAACACCAAAAAGACTAACAAAATGGCAAAGCACTATTAGTCCTCACTGTGAATGTCAATGGATTAATGATCCCATTTAAATGCAGAGAATGGCAGAATGAATAAAAAAAAGTCCAGCTCTATACTGTCTACAAGTGATACAGACCCAAGCACAAGAATAGTTTTAAAGTGAAAGAATGGAAACAACATGTTATATGTAAAATATGTACCTGAAGAGAGCTGTCATAATGATTTTACTATCAGCCAAAATGGGCTTTAAGTTATAAACATATATGCATTTGACATCAGAAATTTAAAATATTTAAAGCAAACTTACAGAATTGAAAGGAGAAATAACTCTATATTAATAGTTGGAGATTTCAGTAGACCACTTTTAGAAATGAACTGAACACCTAGAATATTGGTTCTCAGCCGTCCTAATACAGTTCCTCATGTGATTGATGGCGACTCCCAACCATAAAGTTATTTTCGTTGCTACCTCATAACTATAACTTTGCTACTGTTATGAATCAGGCGACCCCTATGAAAGGGTCTTTCGATCCCCAAGAACCGCTGAGCTAGAACATTAAGTCCAGAACGAGGTGGACTTGAATGGCACTCTGGGCTCACAGAGCCCCCACTCAACACCAGCGCCCGACCGCGCTCTTCTCCGGGGGCACAGGTCCTTTTCTAGGAGAGGCCACACAGCAAGTCGCAATAGATTGTACAGTAAGTTCTCTGACTCCACTGGAGTAAAGTTAGACATAGTTAATGGAAAGAAAATGGAAACACACAAATATGTGCAGATTAAATAGCACACTGTTAAACTAATAGGTTAAGAAAGAAAGCAAGAGAAAAATTGTAAAGTACTTAAAATATCAAAACCTATGGAATGCAGGTGAGGCACTGCTCAGAGACAAATTAATAGCAATACATGCTTACGTTAAAGAAGAAAGATCTAAAATAAGTCACCTAATTCTTCAGTAGAGGAAAAAGAAAGGAGCAAAGCAAGCCCCAAATGGAAAGAAGGAAATAGTAAAGTTCAAAGCAGAGAGAAATGAAACAGAGACTAGAACAAACCTAGGATCAAGGAAACCGCAGTTGCATTTTGGAAAAAATCACTAAGAACGACCAACTTCTAGAGGTAAAAAAAGGTATATCTAAAGTCATAAATGAAATGGGGCATATTTACAATGGACCATACATTGTAAATCATACAGGAAATAATAGGAGAATACCTTTGAACCTTTTTAATAGTGCAGTGCAAACGTTTGTGTAATTTACTGGGCGCATTGCCTCCAGTCTTTCCTGTGGCTCTCGCTGTAATTGCGCACACAGCTTGTGCCTGGAATCACCATCAGGGCACACGCCTCCTCTGGGATGCATTCCACTCCTTTCTCCTGTGTCTCTGGTCACAGTCTAACCCTTGTCCTGTGTTTCTACAGTCATCTGCCCACTTCTGATCTGGA